AGAGAGAGAGAGAGAGAGAGAGAGAGAGAGAGAGAGAGAGAGAGAGAGAGAGATCGCTCTTGCCTCCTTGCCTCATCAACAACCGCCCGGAGTTTCGTCAGACCACCAAGTGACGCTGGAGTTCCACCGGACCACCACTTGATCCCGGAGTTTTGCCAGACCACCACCTGACGCCTTGCACCGGATCGCCACTTAACGCTAGAGTTCCACTGGACCACCACCTCACACATGAAGTTCTGTCAGACTACCACTTGATGTCAGAGTTTCACTGGACCACCACTTGATGATGCCCAGAATTACGCCGTACCACCACTTGACGTCGAAATTCCTTTGGACCACCACCTGATGCCTAAGTTCTGCCAGACCACCACTTGATGCCCGGAGTTTCGTCGAATCACCACATGACGCCTAGAGTTCTGTCAGACCACCACGTGACGCCGTAGTTCCACCGGACTACCACTTAACGCTCAAATTTTTTCTGGAACACCACCTATTGTCAGAGTTTTATCGGACTACCACCTGACGCCCAGAGTTCCGCCGGACCACCACCTGATGCCCAGAGTTCCGCCAGACCACCACATAACACCAGACCACCGACTGACATCGGGACTCCCGTCGAATCACCAATTGACGGCCGGACTTTCGCCTTACCATCAAGTGACACCGGACATTCATCTAATCTTTGTTTTCAGCTGGCTAGACCCTGTGGTTTTTCCCTTTCCAGAATTTTCCACAGAAGAAACCTTGTGTTCTTTGTGTGTAAGCTGGATATATGTACAACACTAAGATGTAAAATTATAACTCTATCCCCGTATATATTCTAGCCCGCAATAATGATTATAAAAGGTTATTTCTATTATAGAAGGTTTTAAAAATAATAGCCACATGAAAGTGTAATAGTATTATAAAAAAAATAAAATAATGAAAAAAGGACCCAAATAGACCTTTAATGTGATGAGTGTTTATTTATGTTTATCTTTCATAAGGATGATGAGCGATGATTTTGGTCAGGATGAGCCAAGATGAAGAGAAATTTCAAGCTTTGTTCAAATTGGCATGCCTTAGCATGCTATATCAATAATTTAAGAGCTAAAATGTTGTAATGCCAAGGCAAAATAACCCATCAAAAATTCAAAAGTGTATAACCAGGGCGATCAAGTTAACTAGGGTGACTTGTAATTTAAAAAAAAAAAAAAAATTGCCCTTGCGCAATGATTAGTTAAGCGATTCAAGAAGATTTTTTTTAGGCTCCGTTTGGTTTTTTGATACTGTTGTAAAAGACAATTTTAAGAAACATTGGTTCATAAAATGGAGTTTTCTAACAGAGAAGCATATATAAAAAGCTTTTTCAAAACAACAGAAAAATGAAACAAAATGAGTTATTGGGAACATGATTTGGTGAACCAAGAAATGAATTTTTTGTTTTAAAACGGAATAAGTATAAAAAACTTCCAATCAAACGAAGACTTAAAGTATTTGGCTTGGTTAATTAGGTAGCCAAGTACTTGTATAACCGAACTAAGGTGCAATACAAAAAAATTAGCCTCCTGCAATTAAGATTAGCCAAATTAAACATGGAAAAGTAGAGGTTTACATCTTAAGCACAAATTATTCTTACATGACTAACTTGATTGCATGACAATACAATTAGTTATAAGAAGTAATAAAGAGTTATTAGATAATCTATAATTCACTCTTCAAAATTGGGCATATCAAGACATGGTATACAAGCTTAAACTCATAGGATTAACAACTTCATTAAGAGATTTTACAATGCCTTGGGCCTTACAAAGCCTTTCTCTTACATTGAGAATTCCAGAAACTCTAATGTGGAGAATATAATTATAGAAGAAATGTTATAATGAATGAAAGTATTTTAAAAAAAAAAAAGATGAATATATTAAGAGAATAAAAAGGGAGGATATCACATTAGATGGGAAGTGATTAATAATTATTGTAATATAGATTTAAATCATTTGAAATTGTACTTGTATATATCTCATTAAAAATGATATTATCCAACTTTATCCTCTTAATTTGATCCTTCTCTTTTATAATACACACTACAGGAATATGTCATGTTACCGACGGACAAATCTGTCGGTAAACCTAAAAAATATGTTGAAAAATCTCATTTTTCGGCATATTTCCTACGAAAATGCATCTGATTGTAATTTACACGTCGGAAAATATTAACCGGCGAAATTTTGCTGCCGAAAGAAATTCTGGTAGTGTTTCTGACGTAATTCTAGCAAAAAAGAAGATGCTAATGCATCGTCTTTCTAAAGCGAATTCCGATGTTTAATCTGATAGTATTGCAGGCACATTTATACGCTAGAAGTAATGGCGGATAATATGCCGCCCTAATCCGTTGCACAACTGTTTACAGATAGTACCGCCTGATTTATCGTCGGAAATTCCGACGTAAAAGTACGCCATAAATGACATTCCATTTTCGTTGTATCGTATTGCCGATAGAGTTTCCGACATAAAATCTGTCGAAAACCTGTAGTATAAAAAAAACAACCTTCTGACTTATCAAACTGATTTCTACAAAAAAAAAACATGTGTATGAAAGATCAAATACTATATACATTCAAATATACACTTCTAATAAAAAATATCACTAAATATTAAACATAAATACATAAACATGAATAAAAATAAGAATAATATCAACAACAAATATCCAATAATAAACAAGTGCAGATAATATCCCCACCTATTTCACTATAAATAGATAAAGATATAAAAAAATGTGTATTCTTATTAATGACTTGATCGCCCAAAGTCAAAATCCTCTAAGTAGGTCTATTACTACTAAAATTATACTTCATATATTATGTTTTAGGTCTACTTATGCGAAAACCTTTAGACTCTAAGGTTGACCTACATAATTCAAGTATACCTTCAACTCCCTCTCTACTATTATCAACTAGAAGAATATTATCAACAAAAAGCATACTCCAAGGTACATTCTCTTGCAAATGTCTAGTGAGAACATCCATAACTAAAGCAAGAAGCCTACACCAAAGTACATTCTCTTGCAATTGTCTAGTGAGAACATCCATAACTCAAGCAAAAAAACAAACAACAAGGTACGTTCTCTTACCGGAGAAAGGTCACACATGAAATGGGGCAATGATAACGCACAAAATGAAGGTGGCGACTATAGGCAACTGATGGTGGTACTCATAGGCAAGCTCGACGCCTAAAAATTCTCTCAAAATGTCTTGAAAGAATTTCATGTGGAGAAGTAACCCTTGATTTAAATTAAGCTAAATGTATAAAATTTAATTATTAAATTTTGCCTAGTATTATATTTATCTTTAGATATCACAGATCTATTGTTCTAAGCGATAGAGAAATATAGGGGTGTCAATATTTGACACGACACGAAAACCCGACCCGGACCAAGGTTAGACTTTTCGACCCGTTTACATATCCGGGTCAGGTTAGGGTTGACCCGTTTGAACCCCGGGTCAATTCGACCTAACCCGAACCCGACCGAAACCCGGTTTTGACACCCCTAGAGAAATAGATGATGATATTATTAGTAAAAATCAAATTGAATGGTTGAAGTGGAGAAATGCATCAAGCCTATTGCATAATAAAAAATTACTCCTCAAACTTATAAAGAAAAATCTAGCTTTATGGCACAAAATATTTTCTATTAAAAGAGAAACATATTGTACGATAAGTTAAATGTTGCAAAAATGAGGTTGTAGATAAATGCTTTACAATCAAAGACAAATGTGTCCTATGAACTGAGATGAAGGCTTGATATTTTTGTTATTAAATGTAGCGACGATATCATATTTATCCTCGCAAACAATTTTACCCGTCAGTAAAAAATAAGCCCGCGGCCCGCCCTCCCTGTTTCCCTAAAACGCTAACCAAATGCCAACATGCAAGCCTTAAAGCTCTCATACGTGCTCCCCTACGTCACACACACACCTAATTACACGCATGCCATTTCGCGTCTCAATGACCCAAACATCCACTCCTTTCATTTCTTTATATATTTACATTTCTATAGTATCGTTATTGAAGGGTTAATTTTTATATGCTAAAAGAAAAAAAAAATCATTTTCATTCGTCCTACTTTAAATCTGGACCGCTCTTTCAAGATGACGTGGCTCCACAGGCTCCATTCGATGCGGCCGAAACCCAACAGGTAGGAATCAACGGTTATGATCGTCGATCCACTGCCCTGCATCCGGTCACCGCTCACACAGTCAATTTCCAGAGCATCCTCGCTGCCACGTGAGCATTGAACCGCCAACCTCCTTGCTGCTAAAACCCATTCCCTCTCCAACTCACCCGCTATAAACCCGGCTCGCTGATCCTTCCTTCTTCAATTCAGCCCTCAAGAGCTGCTTCTGGTTCGGTGGTGAAAGAGCCAGGAGAGTGAGAAAGATATCGGAAGATAGAAAAAGGAAATCGGCCTAAGATATTGCTGATGGCGGTGGCCGCGATGGCTGCGAAGACTCCGGCGGCAAGCCCTGCCGCGCTGCCACTGTCGGACTTGGTGGCGAGAGACACGATCATTGCCTGGTACAGAGGCGAGTTTGCAGCTGCGAACGCAATCATTGATGCGCTCTGCACTCACATCGTCCAGATAACCGGCGTTCCTTCCGAGTATGAGGCCGTATTCGCTGCGATCCACCGCCGGCGCTTGAACTGGATCCCCGTCCTTCATATGCAGCGTTATTTCTCCATTGCAGACGTATCAAACGAACTCCGCCGCGTCGCCGGCAATCGCAAGCCCCTGAATTCCACCGCTGTCAGCGAAGCTCAGAGTGATGCCGCTGTAACGCCGATTAATAGGGATGTGCCAGGCACTGGATCAGATGTCACCGCTGTTGAAGAGATCAGAAGGTCCCTCGACGAGGAGCGGTCTTCAGGGAGAATATCGGAGGGCGCCCGAGAGGAACATTCCACTGCTTATTCATCAGATTGTAATATTGCAACGGAAGGCAAATCTGTTGATGCCGAGTTTGCCGATGACGGAGGTCAGTTTTCCCTTCTCCCCTCTTCTTCCTCCTACTTTGATGTTCCTTCAATTTTAATTTATTCCTATAATTAATCCCTCATTCAATTTATGTATAAATTTCGTTCATTATTATTGTAAATGCGAAGATTTAGATCTGAAATGTTGATTAGTATTGGAGGATCCGCGCATGCCGGAACGTTTTCTGCCACCGTTCAGCACTGCACTGCTCCAATTCTGGTAGTGGAGGTCAGAGACGGAGTCTAAAAAATGTTTCCCTCTTCAGGAGCAAAAACTAGAAAAGAAATAGCAGGGCTGCCTCAGCTTAAGTTAACGTCGTGGCCTGATTTACAGAAGAAACATAGACGATCTGGACGGTTCAAAAAAGGTCGGACGGCATCCGGCAGCCCTGGCCACCGGAGCTTTCATTCCCGTGACCTGCTCATGGACAGCTAACACCTAACGTTCATTTGTTTTTCTTTTTATTTCTATATCAACAAATAAACTATAATTAGGCCTTCAGTTTTTTAGAAGGTCAGTTTTGAGTCCAGCTTGTTGGTGCACCCATCGGAGGATTAGCGGGTTGCGTTTCTCCTCGTCTGATTGGAGTCCGCACATAATAATTTCCCCTCCAAGTTGGCAACTCCTGCTTGACTGCTGGTAGCTTCCAGAAGGATGAGACACGTGTCCTCAGGCCACAGAAATTCTTCTGGAAATTAGAACTAGTTGCTGGGGCTTTAATGAATAGGCTGCTTCTGTGTTCCACCGTCCGATCCTGTAACAAGTCACATGCATTGAAGCAGTTTTAGGTGCGCTGCTTGTCCTCACCCTGTGTGAGGTTGCTAACTCATGTTAGTCATATATATCACGTGTGATATATATTCGAGTCAAATTTAACGGTAGACAGTTCTTAAGGGCGTCTCGAGAACTCCATCCAAACGATTGTATGGCTTGCTCCATTTTAACAGCAAAAAAATCGCTAATTGGTAGAGGATGAAAAGCACAGCGTCAATGTTGACGTGATTTTTCTGTCTCAACCGGATTAGTCGAAGAAATGCGCCAAATAAGAGAAAAACGGGTTACTTTGGCATAAGCGCACAAAATGAAGTTTCATTGGAGATGAATCATAGCATTTTTGAGTTTCGCTATATTTTGAAGTGAAAATTTGAGATTTTCGATTTGAGATGCCCTAAATGTCCTCCATGAACCACATAGAGTTTTTTTGTATTTGCTGTGAGTCCCAAGTTCGATGCCTTGCTTGGCCCGTCACCATGGGCCAAGTCTGAACAAATGAGTTCCACTTTTGTCATCTTTTTGCTACCTCTATTCAATGGTGTAGAACAAAAGACAAAAGCATGACTATAATAGCGTTAAAATTTTAAAAGCATAATCGGCAAATCACAATTTTTGGCTTGAAACATTGTACAATTTATCGTTTCTGTTAACTTGTTTATTTTAGGTAATGATAATATTTAATATCGTTTTTATTTTTTATTGAATATAGCATGAGAGCCTAGTTGAAGTTGAATGTGAAAACAGTTGTAATTTAAAAATGTGATCTTTTAACTTGTGATGATATTTTGTGGGGCCTGCAGGATCTCATCAAGCGTTGACAGAAAATGATCAAATATGCACGCATCATGAGGAATGTGTGACGCGTCCTGAGAAGATCAAGTTTTTTAAGGGTTTTGTTGCAAAGGAGCCTGTGAAAGGGCATATGGCGAGTTCCTCTATACATGATCCAGCACAATTTCTATATTGAGAACACAATAGGAGATGCAGTAGGAAATAATAGTTCATCAATTTGGGTTCAATCTATTTCAAAAATGGTTTTCACTAAATGCGGCTTTCTAAATTTGATCAGGTCAATGTGGTGAAAGGGCTGAAGCTTTATGAAGACGTGTTCACAAACTTTGAACTACACAAGCTTACTGAATATATAAATGAACTCCGTCTTGCGGGCCGAAGGGGAGAACTATCAGGTTTGTACTTCTTTTTGTTGGATTGAAAATCAAAACCTCTTCTTGGGACAAGTGTTGTAGGCGAGTCTTGTAAATTTGTGTAGCCTATTTATTTGAAGTTATTTTAGGTTCCGCAGTGAGTTTCCCAGCTGATTCTTTATTTTTTTATCTTAATTCTGAAAGATCTTACTTTAAGGTGACTGAATGGCTACTGTAAATAGAAAACAAAACAGTACGCATCTGTTTCTGGTGAAATTATTAGGTGCGGACACACACCGTTCAGAGCCCAATGAAAATGTGTCATGTCACCCCTACTCGGTACCGCGGCTCGGTATCGATGACGTGGTTGCACCTGATTGGCCTCTGGATGGTAAGCTGTGTCCATTATGTGCACAGAATAATCTCTCCTATTTCTGAGTGTTAATTCATATTTGTCAGGCGTTTGTTTTAGTCCATAGTCAATTGTATAGAGTAACCTAGTTTACATAAAAATTTATGCTGCAAAGGCATAGTGGCCACTTAAATTAGTTTAGTAACTTAACAGGTTGCAAAGCTTCATTGTTATAATTGAAAGTTCAAAGCTATCTATTCTGTTGATTTAATCAATATTGGGGTTCTTTCATGACAATATACTTCCGGACTGTTATCTGAAAATCAATTTCAGTTAAATAATTAGCAATGCAATGAAAGATTATAAAGTTAATAGTAGGAAGTTAAAACGCATGTAGGAAGTTACATAATCAAGTAATCAAGTTATAGATGATCTGTTTAGTTCAAACATCATTAATGTTAATGTGGATGATGAGGATTAGACTTTATTATTATTGTATTATTTACCTCCTTCTAAATACTTTTCTGAGCCCATATTTTATGAGAGACATATCATAAGCTCATACGATTGGAATAACATAGATTTATCAAAAAAAAAAGTTTTTTGCTTAATGGTGTACATGAAGAAAAGTAAGGTGATGGATTGTTCATTCGAAGGAGACTAATGGAGAAAAATACTACCTCTAAAGGAAAGTTTATTGGCAAGAAAAAGACTTGTTTCTATCACAAGTAGCAATGACGCATCGAGAAAAATTATATGGCATTAAAGAAAATTGAAATAAACGGGTAAAAACTATTAATGAGATTGGATAGCAGATGCAGGCACAAGTGATATAGAATAAGGTTATGTTCTTTCTATGACTACAAGTTATAGGCTCAATGATTAGTGATTTTGTACCTAGTATATTTTTTTATATATGTTACTATTGTCTTTATGTAAATCATATAATAGTCATGTATATATGGGATTTCTACCATGAATCGGAAGTATAACACTTTCAATGAAATATGCTTATTGTGATTAATAATTATTGAGGGTAAATCTCCCATCAATATTACTGTCAAGCCCTTGTTTTGTTAAGGCTAAAAAATATACAGCCTTACCATCATTGAGGGCTATTTCAATGACTTGAACCTCATCCATCAAAGGTGCTTTGTCCTTATTAATCGCTCTGAAGATTGATTTCTTGCCTTTAATATTACTTTGATTTTCTTTAAAGTTCAAATATGTATATTATCTTAGAAACGTTCTAAATAGTTCCTTACTGATGTATGAAAAAATACAGCAAGGAAACGCTTGCAAAATTTACTTAATAATGGTAGGGGATGATTCTTCCATTTAATTTCTTCTAGTTAAAACCGAACTCGTACGATATTTTAGATTCTGATTTGTTTTGTTTCCCGCACCATAAGCTTGCCATGCTCCAACTGCTATGTTATTACAAAAAAAAAGAAGTCTGGCTACATAAAAGACACTTAAGTTTCTCAAAGAAAATGTAATGATAGGATTTTTAGGTAAGCAGCTTGGTTTTGACATTAAGAGATTATCATTATAATCTGTAAAATATTTCCTTGTCTGTGTATGTTTCAGGCGAAACATTTATTTTCTTCAATAAGCAGATGAAAGGCAACAAGAGAGAGATTATTCAACTTGGCGTTCCATTATTTCAACCAACAAATGAAGAGACAGCAAGTAAATGACTAACCAATGTTGTGCATTTTAGCCATTAATTCCCCTTCTATCACAAGTACATCTGAACCACTTCTATAATAACTATGAAAGATGTAACTCTTCAAATTGTAATTGCTTGTTAATATTTTTGGTATATTCACCTTATTATCATGCTACTTGGAGTTTTCTACAGGCAAGCTTGCAATGAACTTTATATTTCTTTTGTGCAACTGATGTAGTTTATATGTTTCTTAGGTTTCGTTTGGGACGGCTTTCTTACTACTTCTTAAATTAGCTTTTTAGTAAAAAAATTAAAAAACTGTCTTAAGAAGCATAAGAAAGCCGTCCCAAACGAAGCCTTAATATTAACCATTGCTAACTAATACATTTACTACGAATTCGCGTGCAGTGTGCCCATCTGAAAATCATTTTTTGCCTTAAAAAAGTCGCGTTATTTCCTTCCCCAATTTTCTAGTTTATGCTTCCTAAATCAGTTTCATATAACTTGTATTGCTTTGCAGGTAGCATTGAACCTATTCCTCAAATTCTGCTATCAGTCATAGATCATCTGACGCAGTGGCACTTAATACCAGAAATTAAAAGGCCTAATAGTTGTCTTATACATTTCTTCGATGAGGTAAAAATGCTTAATATTTAAATTCGGCCTATTGTTTGCACTGTAATACAATTTGTTTGTTCTGCAGGATGAGCACTCGCAACCGTACTTCAAACCTCCGCATTTAGAAAATCCCATCTCTACACTTTTTCTTTCTGAGACAACCATAGCTTTTGGCCGGGTGCTCTCCAGTGATCAAAATGGAGATTATAAAGGCTCCCTTACACTCGCACTCTCCGAAGGGTAATCACACTTATATTCTAGTAACTGCTGACTAGCAATTCGACGCGACGCACTATTTGAAACTAAGGCTTCGTTTGTTTGGGACGACTTTCTTACTGCTTTTTAAAGCAGCTTTTTTAGTATAAAAATTAAAATTTTTTATTGAAAATCTGTTTTAAGAAGCAGTAAGAAAGTCGTCCCAAACGAAACCTTAGTCTTGATTTGGCACGGCTTTCAAAATTTTTGTACTAAAAAGTTACTTTAAGAAGCAGTAAGAAAGCCGTCCCAAAGTAATTCTGAGATTTCCATTGTATAACTGAACACCTGGAACTCTTTCAGGTCACTCCTGGTGATGCGTGGTAACAGTGCAGACATGGCAAGGCATGTCATATGTCCGTCTCCTAACAAAAGGGTAAGCGTTACCTTCCTGAAAGTCCGATCTGCTACAAACCAAATCGAACTACCATCTCCCGCCTCCCAGCAATCTAAAGCCATTACTCTATGGCAACCCCCACAACCAGTCGAAGTGCCTGAAACAGGGCCTATTGCTTATGGACCACAAGCCATGGTGCCACCATGGGGGCTTTCTCTTCGAGCTCCTGTGTTCATGTTAGCGCCGACGGCGACGAGGCCAATGGTCATGAACCAAGGGAGGAGAGGTGGACGCGGCGGCACCGGAGTGTTCTTGCCGTGGAATGTGGGTCCAAAGAGGTACACCAGGCATCTTCCTCCTCGGTTTCAAAGAAGGAGACCACTAGAAGCACAAGTGGAGAAACAAAAGTAAGCCTCTTCTTTGCTGTTTTCTCAGTTTGCTAAAAAGAAATACTGTAGAGATTAATATTCAGGAGGAAAAGGCTTGTTTTAGTAGTCTTTCTTGTTTCGACTGGTTACTGCATCGATTTTTGCTTAGTTTGGGTGATTTTTTTTTTTTTGGTTGTGTTGCATGTTTATTTAAGAAGAATAGTTTGTGGGAGTTCAGTGTTTAATAGGGCTGGGATTGGAATTGGGTTTCTTCATGTTTTGTAGGACCACCACCAAGTGGAAGGACCCAATTTTTTAATTAATGGAATTTTATGTTTAAAAAAGTTGTTAGTAAGCATACTTCTTTACAATTCTCTCCTCGTAGCAATAAAGAAATGAAAAAAGTTAAAGGTAACATTGACCTTCTTATATTTTTTTCAAGATTTTTATTTTTGAAGCTCTCTTGTTTGGAAGAATATGACATGGTGTGAAAAAGAGGTTCTTGATTTCTTAATGGTAAATTATTGGTATTTAAGAAATGGATGTGGCCCACAGAGGTTTAGGGTGGTTGGTTGGTGAGCACAGTTGAGAACCCTCATCCCGGATTTGAATCCCCTCTACTGTGGTCTCGTCAAGTGTGAGTTCGATGCCAGTGAGTGGCCAAGCTAGGTTATGCCAAAGGATTAGTTACGCTGTCAAGCGCTCTCTTTGGAGTGACAGCAAGTACCCCGTTCCCGAAAAAAAAAGGATTTGGGATTTTCAAAATATCAATGAGGATTTAGTTAAAATCCTCGTGTATAAAATTTTCAAACATACATTCTTCTTATTAAATGGAAGACAGGCTTTCCAAGAAAGCTAGCATAATAGATATTTCCTAATCCTCTAAGTATAATTACTAGAGAAGAATAAATTAAATATGCTCTTATGGACCATATTTTGAAAGCTTTCAATCTTTTCATGATTATCCTACTACTTCATAGTTGATGCTAAAATTATTTAGAGTAATTATATATATAGAGCATTATTTGTGAAAATCAATGGATAAAACAAAAAATCAGGAATTACATAGATGTCCAAATGATAGGATGATTTACAATTTATATAAAATGTGGTTAAAGAAAGAAAGGGAAAAAGTTAAAAACTTCATCAAGGAACTATCATCTCTTCAAGGATGAATAATTCTATGAGGACACCGGACGGGGATAACCGTTCGGTTTATCTATGTGTTTTTAATGTTCATAAAGACAAAACCAGACGATTCTTCCTGTCCAGTGTCTGCATAGAATAATCTCCTCTTCTCAAGGGACTATGTTCTCCCAAAATACTTCGATGGCATGTACATCTACTTCCGACGCTGATGGCTAGCATAATTCAATTAAGATTTCGTTTGGGACGACTTAACGAAGCCTAAATTGCAAATTAATGATTGATTTGAAATTAAAAGCAAGAGCGTGCAATCCTTTGTTTTTTTTGGCAAATTAATGCATCCGGTCACCGGACGCGGAGATAGGTCCGGATATTAATAAAATATTATTTTAAATTAAGCGCAGGTAAAGCGCATGTAAAGTGCATGTAAAGCGCAGAAAAAGCGCAGGTAAAGTGCAGTCAAAAGCGCAAGTAAAGCGCAGCAAAGCACACCTTAAGTGCACGCAAAGCGCACCTAAAGCGCATCAAAAGCGCAGGTGACGTGGCAAATTTTTATTGGATGACCAAACATATTGTGCATGTCCGGTGACCGCATGCAATAATTTGCCCAGTTTTTTATTGAGAGGAACAGTACAGCTGCCTAAGAACTTCAATAATAATATTAATAAATGCAATTCTGATTATTCTGCAATGTCACATCGATCAGCAGCAAGACCATCACCATCGCTAATTATTGCTGAGAAGAATTCATCATACACAAAGCTGGAAATTAGGTAGATAAAATTCATGCCAATCATAAAAAAATCTATGAGGAGATGGAAACAGAGCTGCTTTGTAATCTTGAATTCTTCTCGATTTCTTTAATTATGAGGTCTCTCTCCTCTTCGAATTGCTCGTCCTCATCTGGGAAAAAGATAGAAGAAAATTAATAGAATGCAAAATATGAAAAGATAACAGCTTGTTTTGTAGTTTATGGGAACACTATCGATACTATAGATAATGATGCATTGCTCTAAGAAGATGTGGACAACTAATGAACACTGATTCAGAATTCATTTGGGAAGGTAAGTAATTTTTTGTTTTTTTGTTCTTAATTGATGTGGGCATTATAAATATTTAAAAGATAAAAGAATTTGATACTTTCTTACAATTATCATAGTTTAGTAGATATGATTGAAAAAAATTTGCCCTTCATCATATAAATTGATGATAAAATAGTAGAGAGTAATGATCAAATAAAAATATGATTACTAAAAAAAAAGGTAAAACGGCGCCAAATAGTCCCTAAATCATTCAATTTGGCTTTGATGCCAATTGGTTGCACAAAAAAATCCAAATACAACAACAACAACAACATCAAGCATTTGTCCCACTACGTGGGGTCAGCTACATGAATTCTTTTTTTTCCATTGCGTCTTGTTAAAAGTCAAATTCTCGTTTAAATCTAATAAGGAAATATCATTTCTAATATCTTCTAACCAAGTTTTTTTAGGTCTATCTCTACGTTTTTTAACATAAGTTAAATCTAATGCATCTACTTTCCTAATCCGATCATCAGAAGGCAGCCGTTTTATGTGAACAAACCATCTAAGCCGACTCTGATGTATGACTGCGATGATTGCAATGACTTGGTTAAGATTTTGCACAACTTCTTGATTGGATAAATAACAAAGAAAACTATTAGCAATTAAAGCGACGAATCAAAACGTAAGAGGGGTCACATCCGTTTAGGCTAAGTTGCATATCAAAAGATTTGAAACTTCAAAATAATGTAGAAAATAACATCATGCCAATATGGTAGTTTCAACAACAATCCCTAGTCTAACAATAAGAGTTAGACTAGGTCACGCCCGTATCTGATACGCGTGTCCTTTTGAAATTAAATAGTATTTTAATTGGATATGGCTTTGACGTATCAGACGCGTATCGTGTCCGACACGTATCCGATACATCACTCCTGCATAAATAGGTGTATTGGTGCAACATAGGTTATTTGTTACCTCGTTTGTCAAATGGGTTGACCATATCAGAGACTCGAAGTGAGGCCGCAGATGACGCGGAGGTAGGGCTCGACCACAGGCGCTGAAGCGCAGTCATGTGCAGCTGGAAAATGGCGACCGGGCTAGGTCGCATTCACATGGGTGCAAGTCCTACGGTAGGGCCGTACGCCGGAGGTGGGGTCGACTGTCAGAGAGGATATGAGTGGTATCATCTTTGCCTGCTTCTCTTCATGCGTGTCGCGTGCGCAGGATAGGCTCGCAACATGGGATCCGGGTTAGCCGGGCCACCTTCGGGTTTTTGGGTCAACTTGAACCAGACCTATTTTTTAGACGGGTCAAAAATCTGAACCCGAACCCGACCCGTTTTATAAAGGAGTTGACTAAAACCCGAATTTTACCGGGCCGGGTTTCTAATCAACACCCCTACCTCATATATCGTCGAAGAAATCCCGAAAATCCACTTAATCTACTGTCGGGGCTACTGTGCATCTCCTCCTGTAAATCCCGCACCTCGATCTTCTGCTCTTGTCTCGAATCGAGGCTATGCCTCGTCGTTAAAATGAAATCAAACGAGGCTTTGTTGGATCTTCTTCCGCTTCCGCGCTGAAGCTCTAGCTTCCGTTTCTTCCATATTCGTATTCACTGTAGCCGATGTTCAACTGAGTCGAACCCTCCCGAATCCTCCTCCAATCATCCGTCTCTGCTACCCGATCCTGACTCCCACGCCTACAGCCGCTGATCCACTACTGTACCTAAATCTCCATGACCTCCTCCCCTCGTAAGCCTGTTCCTAAAAGCCCATAGCACTCTACATTGCAGCAAACCCCACTTCTGCAGTTCTACACACGCACTAAACCAAATCGTTAAAACAATCATTATACCCCTTCCCAGCCACTCTAACTCCAGCAATCACCAACATCCCTAATTCCCTATTATTACCCTATTATTATAACTAGTTAATTATTATTATAATTACTATTAATTATAATAGTAAATATTATTGTTATTATTAAAGAAAAAAAAGAAAAAAAAAAGTATTTCAAAAAAGAATAAAAAAGAAGAAAAGAAAAAAAAAATTGTATTTTATCACGTCATTGTCTCGATCGCTTGTTCACGCAAAGGTATAATGCTCTATGAACTCAAAAATCCATCAAACCCCGTTTTCCGCATGTCGGGGGATCACCCTTTATGCTCTTATAGCATAGTGGGAGGGAACTCGGTGCGACGCTTGCAACGAGACGAGTAGGCCTTTACGCGCTCTTGTAGCTTGGCGGGGACAATTCTAAGTACCCGTGTATTTGCATTAGTGCCCGCGGAGAAAAACTGCGCTTTCTTTCAGACAGGTACTCCGAAGACCCCTACACGCTCTCGTAACATTGTGGGATTAAAAATCACGGTCGTGGTGTCGCACAACACCTACCCTACATGCTCTCGTAGTGTGGTAGGGAAGGCTCAGCTCCTAAAATTTCCCCTAAACAGAGGAAAAGCCAGGAGGTTGCTGAAATTCAGAATGACAATATGGGCCAAAATTTGAACATTCAACAGGGAACATAACCTTTAATGATAAACAAGGAACTGAACTTTAAATCAATAAAAGGCAAGATCAAGATGAAAATACAAATGATGAATAGTAATTTTGGTCATCTAATTGAATATCAATGAATAAACAAGAGGTAAATGGCTAGCAAAATGCTCAATGCACAATTTGCTCATAAATGACAAAATTAAAGTGACATGTCATACTCAAGCGAATATCAAAAACCTACCGTGAACACGGATTCTCATTATTGTATCAAGATAATTGGCTTGCAAGCATGAGTGTAAGGTCATGACACACACAACAGTCCACTTACAAGCCACCACAAGGAAACTGTGAGTGTTCATAGGTGATAGCAGACGATGTGCAAGTGGATACAATAGCTTGCTAGCCAACAAATGAAGGGAGGCCGACGGTGAATGCAGCTCATCGACGATCAACAATAACATGCAAATGAGCACACTAGCTTATATGTACATGATAATGCTAGATATGTCATTAGAATGGCAATTATCCTACAAACGTATCAAAGGAAACCACGACGAATGCAATAGCACATTCACAGGCAAAGCATGAAACTCATACACCAGATAAGACTCCTTCACAGTCAACATAAATTAAGCATCTAACAAATGCACAAGTCCCCTACAAGCAAAGAAGTTTGATTTGCAATACAAAGAATTAAAGCATACATAGTGCAACATATAACGAATGCGAATATACATTGGCATTAACGAAAGATTTACCGTATGCACAACAATACGTCTACAAATGATAATCAACAATGGAGGGTGGATGCTATGACACCTTTGTAGTCGACATCCTCCTACAATGAGTACACTGACTTACCTGCAAGCAACAATGGAGAATATGCTACAAGCAAGATTAGGAAACATACGACGAGTGTGAGTACTTACGAGCAATACAGGAGGATGTTGCATTGAATACCGTTCATCAGCATACGACAGTGGGTGACTTATGGATATCTAACAAAACTCGTGATGTACAATAGCTCGCTTGTAAGAGGCAACGAGTGACCCGTAACGCAATTCTACGATTCACCTGTAAGCAAAAGCATACAATCTATAGTTAAAAATTATGAGCCACTGGTAAATTGAGGTAATGAATTTGCAGTGTCAGACTACCACATAAGATAATCAGTTTACTTGCCAACAACAGGTAGGAGGTTCTTGATGCACCGCTAACTCATTTGCAGGCCGAAGCATATTCTCACAGGTGAATGCTGAGGAAAATAATAACTTGTAGAAGACAAGATGAACTAAACTACATTGTCCATGCAAGACAAATGAAACCCAACGTGCTGCTAAATAATGCCACCAGATCCACAACATTCATATAAACGGATAGAAGACGTTCATAGGCTCTTCAAGAAAGTTCGTGTATTTTTCAAATGATCATTACTTGCCAACAAGAATTTAGTGTTGCACGACAACCTACCTGCAATAAGAAACGGGTAACCCATAGCGCAGTGCCACGCTACCGAATCCGCAACATGCACCCAACCGGACAGAAGGCATTTGCAAATGCTAAAATAAAATCCAACGTACTCATCAGCGATAGTCACTTGCCCAGTTGATTACAACTGAATATTACATGAAAACCCCTCATGCATTAAAATATGATTACTCGTATGGGCCCTAAAGAGCATGTTGTAGGTACACAAGTGACATTGGAGGATGTTGTGCTGGTCAAGAAATGAACTAAAGTTCGAGCCTGGTCATTCTATGTAGGTGAATAGGAGCGGACACAACTCAAACAGTCAAACAAATACACAATCATGATGACGGCTAAGATATTTATTTTAATACATTCATATCAGACATTCAAGGTCTATAACAAAAAAAATTCACAAACATAGGCATAAAGCTGATAATGAGCCTGATCCTCAGTCGACAAATTGACATAGTCGACAGGGTCTGGCCGACAACATTAAATTGCATATAAATACCCCGATGATGGCCGTGTCGAATATTTATCTCTACTAGAGGGGACCTCAAATATTTAAAAATGCTTCCAAATTCTCAAATGCACATGAAAATACAAAATTTCAAAAAAAAATCATCTAAAGCCTAAGATATTTAAAATTCAAATTAATTATCAAACATTTAAAGTAAAATACATATCCACCCTTCGTAACAGTTTGTTGAGGAGGATAAATTTGAAAAGCACTTCAGCTCACAAAGAGCAAATGTCTGGTCGAGAATTTCACTAGGATGCATTCTTAATCTGTCTTTTACGAGTAAGGACTTGGCATGCGTCCTTTGACCGGTGGTTTTACCGCTAAATGGTACCACAACAAAACGGTTATGACTGGAACCCTCTGACTAGGTGCTTTTGCATCCAATGCGCTGTTGTGTGTAGAATTTGATTGTGTTGATCAATCAGGTTGTTCTATTGTTTCGGACCTCAAAACTTGTCGTGTATACTAGAGGATGCGGAGGGTTTACTGTAATAGCAGTTTGGATCACATCGTCCAGGCCGATCATGGATCGTCCTGGGACGATCAGTTGTCATTATGTTCCAGTTTTCTGTCCAGAGGTTACAGGAAAAATTCCTGCATGGATCGTCCAGGCCGATCTGGGATCGTCCCGGGACGATCAGTGTATGGCAAAAGTCAGAGAGCAAATCGTCCTGGAAATTAATTATCGTCCTGCGAAATCGTCCCAGGACGATGTGGAATTTGTTCAGATCGTCCAGGCCGATCAGAGTGTTTTAAAGCTGAAATCAGCTCATTTTGAAGAGAGAGAAAATCAAAATAAATATCTAAAATCAGCCGAGGAGAGAGAAGGTCGAGAGCAAATTTGGAAAAGTTGATTTTCGGGCGACGCCGGGCCGTTTTCGTCCGTCGTGACAGTTCAGTAAAGTGTTGTACGCAAGGTAAGGCACATTCCGCCTTTCTCAATTTTCAGAACAGTGCAATTTGAACGACTTTTCTGTCCGGATTTTGTTTTTGTTAGCTAATTTCGTCCGTATTTTCCGACATGTTCAGTTTTGACCGCGTAACTTTTGATATGTTTCTGAGGTGCCGAGTGTGCACATTTTGATTATTTTCTGGAGATTTTTGATCGGGTAATTTTGATTCTGCGGTGTTTTCGTTCGACTGTAATTTTTGACGATGTCTAAAAATGTTGTGGCAGTAGAATAAAAGTCTTATATTATTGTTGTGAATGTTCTGTGGTAATTTGATAAAATTCTGTTTCAGTGAATTTTTGTGTAAATTCCGTATACTGCCGTTACGCTGCCGGATTTTCGTACGATTTCTGAATTTGTTCTGAATTGACTTAATTATTTGTATGCAATTGGGAGCCATAAGGGGAAGGTTCTGTAAGCACAAGGGAGCTATACGGGGAAGTTCTGAGAAGTTCTGTGAAGTTCTGAAATTCTGTATATCTGTTCTGTTCTAGTGCTATGAGCACAATTGGGAGCTATAAGGAGAAGTTCTGGTGCTGTACGCACAAGGGAGTTATAAGGAGAAGTTCTGGTGCTGTATGCACAAGGGAGATATAAGAGGAAGTTCTGAAATCTGGGAGGAAGATATGTTCTGAAATATCTGTTCTTATTCTAATTTGATATTTTCTAAGTTGATATGCTTTAATTTTGATTTCCGTACGATTTTGTCTGTTCTGATATGACTTTTGATATGCTTTAATCTGATTTCTGATTTCTGTACGGTCTGTCAGTTCTGATGTGATGTATTTCTGCTCTATTCCGATTTGATCTGATCTGTACGATTCTGATTCTGTTCTGATTTGATATACGATTTTGTTTGGAATTCTGTCTGATGTGTTTGATGTGGACTCTGAGGATTTTGATTGGAGATTTGTTGTCTTGCTGAGCTGTTGAGCTCATCCTTGTTTTCTGCGTGGTTTTCAGGTTCTGGGAAAGGGAAGGAAGTCCAGGAATAGAGGTTCAGAGTCTGATCCAGTATAGGTATTTTGTACTTTTGATTTTTGTACAGTCATGGCTTTTTTGTTCTGCTTTTCTTTCTGTCTGAAAGCCATGACCTGTATTTGTACATGATTCTTTTGAGGAAGAAAAAGATAGATGATCTGTTCTGCTGCATTTGATGTTTATAGTAGCTATGTGTGTCTGTTTTTGTCTATATGTTTGGAAGAAAGTTCTGAAACAAATTCCAAAGCCAGATCCTGGAATCAGTTCAGTCGGTTTGAAAGTTAAGGCACCCATGACCCGGTGCGAGCGGGACCCGTCCCGGTCGGGTCGGGTCGTGACAAACCTTTTTAGTGGTATCAGAGCAAAGGTTTTGGAATTTGGAATTTGGATTGTAAGACAGAGCTATAGGAAGTGATCTGAGTCTGTCTGGGGTAGTTTTGGTTTGTCTGGATTTTTATTGTGTTATTTTTGTGCTTAGTTTTCCCGATTTTTCTGGATTTTCTATATGGATCTGCCAGACCCCGACATGACAGACGGTCAGAGTGCCAGTCAAGCAGCATCAGTGGGCTGTATTACCCCAGTGACCCCAGTTGTTGGTGCAGATACACTTTCCCAGTTTGCTACTTTGGTTGCTCAGATGATGAGCGAGACACACAGTAGAGCTTCTACTGTCAGATCTGATGACATTGATAGACATCTGGAGATATTTTTGAGGTTGAAACCTCCGAGATTTGAGGGCGCTGTTGAGCCCAGAGCAGCTGAGGAGTGGCTGAGGAGATTGGAAAAGACTTTTGACGGCATGCAGTGTCCGTTAGACAGGAAGGTTCCGTTGGCTGTTTTTCTGTTGGATGGAGAAGTTGAGCATTGGTGGGTTGGCCAGCAGGAGGCCAAATTTCAGGGCAGATTGAACTCTTTGATTACTTGGGAAGAGTTCACTGAGATGTTCCGAGATTGGTTTGTTCCCCCATCTGCCGTGCAGCAGATGCAGGAGACTTTTCTGAGGCTTGTTCAGGGGAGCAAGACAGTGATGCAGTATGAGGCAGAGTTTACTGCCTTGGCCCGATATGCTCCGCAACTGGTGAGTACTTCTGCTGCGAAGTGCTACCGTTTTCTGAGGGGACTACGAGACAGTTTGAGGCAGCCCCTGGTACCATTTCACATTTCTGATTTCTCTGAGCTTGTGGAGAGAGCTTGTCTGATAGAGAACGATCTGATAGCTACTCAGCAGCGGTGGACTGCGAGTAGGAAGAGGTTTGGGAGTGAGTCGAGCAGTAGTTCCTCTGGCAAGAGGAGATTTGTTTCTGGTTCTGGAGACTCCAGGAGGAGTGGACAGTCAGGATTTTCTGGTACTGCCACGCCCAGTATGATTAGTTCTGGATCTGTTAGTGGGGCACCTGTGTGCCAGAGTTGTGGACGACGACACTTTGGCCAGTGCTACAGGATGACTGGTCAGTGCTTCCGATGTGGTCAGCCAGGACATCGGATTGCAGAGTGTCCACAGACTGGATTTGATCGACGATCTGATTTCCGACCTGAGGGATTTGTTAGACCTGTCGGTTCAGCAGGAAGACCGAGGACTGTTCCTCCACGCCCTGTTTCTGAGGGATTTTCTGGTAGAGGTGGTGGTTTGAGTTTTGCACCACGGAGACCACCTACTGTTAGTCAGAGAGAGCCCAGTAGTTCTGTTGCTTCAGCTCCAGCTCCAGTTCAGCCACGAGTGTACAGTCTGAGTCAGCAGGAGGCTCGAGATGCTCCAGATGTGGTGACAGGTACGATTTACATTTCTGATTAGCCCTGTCGTGTTTTGTTTGATTCTGGAGCCAGTCATTCGTTTTTGTCCGAGCGTTGTTTTGATGCCTTGCATTTGCCTTCGATTTTGTTGCCGATTTCTTCGTATGATGTGATTTTGGGCATGGATTGGCTGAGTCTGTATGAGGCCCAGATTGACTGTTTGAAGAAGCAAGTGAGTTTGCTTATGTCAGGAGAGATATGTGTATTCCAAGGCTTACGAGGTGTTCTCTCCAGTCTGATTTCTGGACTGGAAGTGAGAAGAATGTGGAAGAAGGGTTGTCCAGTATTGTTGGCTTTGGTGCGGGATATGAACCTGGATGTTGGTTCTGTTTTTGATATCCCAGTGGTACGGGAGTTTG